TTCTTAACACACGTGCACAGAGGTTTTCAGGATTATCTGTTAACGTTTTCATGACAAAAATACTGTTTTAATGCCACAAAAAGCAATCGCAGTGAACCCAGAAGTAACCATTAACATTAATAAAACATTTTAGGACGCACTTTAGGAGAACCTGGTTATGGATTCAGGTTGAGTTTATAAATGGGTCACTCACAGCTGATGTTCAGAATCATTTGCAGTCAATAAATAAACTTTTCTGCATTCATAAAAGTGGACTGACGTTTATTCTGTGTGTTCAGTTGGTACAAAGCCGTATAATAAGCGGGATAACATGTAAAATATATAGAACGCAGGTCATTCACATATTTCTTGGTCTTCCTTCCTGGTCAAATTCTGCATCATGCTACAAAATGGTTCATTTGTTGTCACCTTTTTGCGAGACAGGATGAGACCATTTGAACGAGGGCCACTGCAGAGCGTTGTTGATATTTCATAATGACTACTGTGTGAATTCCATCTGGAGGCTTCGGGAAACACCCTGAAGCAGGAAGAGAGTGCGCCCTGCAGCCACTCTCACGAGCAGGGAGTTTTTCACCAAAGATAATATTCAGACGGAGGCCTCATACAAAACACGTGCAGGCTCCGGCCCAGCAGGGGGGTCGCCATGGAGACGCACAAACAACACCAACCAGGAAGTACACACTTTTACAGCAGGGACTGAGTGATGTATGTAACAGTTTGGGCTGAAGACAATCATATTCAGCACAAACTGGAGTTCAGCACAGTCTAGAGTTGACATCAAAACTCATTACAGCTAGGAACTGGCAAAAGATTGAAATATTCATTCATTCATTCATTTTCTACCCCTTTATTAGTCCATTTCTGGGTCAGGGAGGAGGCAATCAGAGCTGCACCCAATGCTCATAGCACCAGTCTCTCGCTGATCCTCTGCAGGTGGTGGGTCCACAGGAGGATGGCTGCTCTGTCAGCGATGATACAGCCTTGGTCTTTCAGCAGGGGCTTCGGGCAAAGTGGGGTTAAGTGTCTTGCCCAAGGACACAACGACAGCAGTCATCAGTGGGAGCAGCTGGAGTAGAATTGTGGCCAATGCTCTGCCAACTGAGCCCCTGTCGCCCCAGTATTAGTGTTTATAATATTTTCGGATTTGATTCTGTGCTGTATTGTGATTCATCAATCACACCAGTTAACACAGATCTCAGAGGCAGTGATTCGTGGTTTTTAGTGCTTCCTGGTCTTCAGTGCTTCCTGGTCTTTAGTGTGTCCTGGTCTTCAGTGCTTCCTGGTCCTCAGCGCTTCTTGGTCTTCAGTGCTTCTTGGTCTTCAGTGCTTCCTGGTCTTCAGTGCGTCCTGGTCTTCAGTACTTCTTGGTCTTCAGTACTTCCTGGTCTTCAGTGCTTCCTGGTCTTCAGTATGTCCTGGTCTTTAGTGCTTCCTGGTCTTCAGTACTTCCTGGTCTTCAGTACTTCCTGGTTTTCAGTACTTCCTGGTCTGCAGTACTTCCTGGTCTTCAGTACTTCCTGGTCCTCAGCTCAGTGTTCAGGTCAGAGGCAGAGCTAATGCAACATGCACTCAGATGTGTCCATCATCGCGTTCTAATCCTGTGCATTAGAACTGCACATGGTCATAGACCACACATAGATGGACCATGTTAACCCTTTCGCTCAGTAAAGCCCAATAGGGATGTGCTCATGGACAAAGTTTTGCTCCCAATGACTTACATTGAAAAGCAACCTCCTCGAGCGTGCAGTGGCTGTTTGTGTCACACTCACCATTTTGGGTTTAAATAATCCATAGTTTAGTGTTCTCTGTGGTTCTGTGTTTTAGTTTAGTACTGTCTTTGTGAATCCAGTAATGAGCAATCAGATTCCTTCAAGCAACGATATTAGCAACTCGTTAGCTGTACAACCGTCGTCACAAAATATCCCAAACTCGCTGCTGTTCAAATTGACTTCTTCCGCTTTTGGCAAAAAGTAACTCGCTCAGTTCACTGCTTGGAGAGTCTATGGTCAAGACGAGACAATATCAAGAGATCTCACCAAATAACATGGTTAAACATTTGACTCAAGATCTGTTGATGATGTTTATAATGTGACTTTGAAGATGGAGATACAAAAGGTGGCGATAGTTCATTCAAATCTCTCAAGTCTTGTTCTCAGGGAGGGAAGCTTGAGCTCAGAGTAGATACGCTGATCCTCTTTGAGAAATGCTATGGTGCTGAGAGGAGGGAGACGCCCCACCGGGAGGAGGCCCTGTGGGGAAGAGGCCCAGGACCACTGGCCTGATTCCCCCAGATGAGCTGGAGCTGGAGGTGTGTATGTGGAGGGAGATCTCTCTGCTCAGACTTCTGCCTCCTCCACCAAAGAGAAAAATGCAAGAATGGGTTTTCACATCTTTCATACTCTTCACATTTTAAAACCTGAAATTTTTACAATTTATCAGACTACTGTATATCACATGCACTTTCAATTTGTATTTCTGTGTATTTTCACGTATTTCTTTGTATGTGACTGACAGATGACTGACAGATTGTTCGTGTTGTCACGAGTTCACCGATAATGGCAGAGTAAGAAGGTTAATGGACATTCTTGGAGATTGACTATGATTGTTTTACCAGTACATAACAATATCATCCAAAGCTTTTCCTTTCAACATATAAATCCATGTTAATCCTAATCCTGCTCATCATATGTGCAGTAAACCTACAGGCCAGCGCCCTGTGCCATGGGAGGGCAGGGAGCAGGCACTCAGGCATCAGCCTTCAGCTGGGCCTGGGCGTGGGGCTGGGCCTGGGGCTGGGCCTGGGGCTGGGCCTGGGCCTGGGGCTTGGCTAGGCCCACCGTCCCAAAAATGCTAAAAATACCTCCTTACTCATTAATATTTCGCCATAGAACACAGCGTCCTCCTCTGGTGGAGTTGTATCACAGCCTCATTTTTCTAAGAATGAGTCCAGACTCTATTGTCTTCATTTCCAACATAAGACACACACACACGGGCACAGAGTCACACACAAGCACACACGTGTGCGCACACCCACACACAACACACAGACACACGTTCCCACACACAACACACAGACACACGTTCCCACACACAATACACAGTCACACGTGCACACATGTGATACATTCTCAAATAAACTAAATTTCATGTTAAGCCAACAATAAAAATGGTTCTGAAATCCTTCTCTGCAGAGTCTCTGGATGGAACTGGGCGGCAGCAAAACCACATTATTCAATCTTTCTTCATTTAGACAAATGGTTTTCTCGGCAGCTGTCGACATGTGGCTCAGCTGAACAAGGCTCAGAAACTACACACACACAATGCTTTGCTTAAAGGTCTCATTTGATGATTTATGACTATTCTCTGCTTTAAACATTATTACAGTGCTCTGCATACACAGAGCAGTTTGTTCATTGATTTAAGCTTTAGTGAGAGCAATTTCACAATGTGATGATGCTGAAGATAAAGAGCTGCACGAATGTGAAACGCCTGAACATGAACCGCCAAACCAGATCACTGCACTGTAGACTTTTACAAGTATCATCTGGAACACAGCTTTCTTCTCCTAATACAGTAAACAAGGAGAGGAGAAAGAACACATTAAAGTGACATCACAGACTACAGAGGGTCTAAAGCATTGAACACATTATAATAAATCACACATACTACAAAGTTATAATGGGCTGGTGTAAATTGTATTTATCTGATCGGTATCAGTTTGTTGAACCAACGACTCCCTCTGCGATCAGATAATCACACTCGATAATGTTTGTGTAGCACCTAGCAACACTGTGAGGAATCTTGGCGTCGTAATTAACCAAGAAATCTCCTTCACAGCACATATGAATCAAGCTACTAAAACAGCATATTTCCACCTGCGCAACATCAGCTAAAATCAGGAATATCCTAAAAGTGACGAAGAAAAACTAATCCAGGCATTTATCACCTCAAGGCCTGACTACTGTAGCACCCCCGGCTTGCAGTGTGCCCTAAATCTTCTATGGAAAGCTTCCAACTCGTCTAAAATACAGCATTAACGATCTTAACAGGTACCAAAAGGAGAGAGCACATAACTCCAGTGTTAGAATCACTCCTCTGGCTTCCTGTGGAGTATAGAATCAAATTTCAGTATCATACCAACCAAACTCTCTCACTGCACTCTCGCTAAACGCCAGACTTCTGATTCTTCCTAAAGTGTCATAAAGTGCAGTCGGGGGCAGATCATTTAGCGACCAAGCTCCAACACTGTGGAATCAGCTCCTCATCCACATCAAGGAAGCAGACACAATCTCTACAATCAAACCTTTTTAATAAAAAAAGACCAAATACTAGAGAAACCCAGATGTAGCTTGTGCTAACTAGGAGTGTGACGATATATCGATATGGTGATGTATCGTGATACTTTCTCACGCAATCGATTATCGATATGCTTTTGCCAAGTATCAATTTAATTTACTTTTTTTAAAATTAGTATCAATACTTAATATATGGCTACATTACGCATCTCGTGATAATCTGCTTTGACCTGAACATATTGTTCTATGACCCAGATATTGCCCAGATATGACCCAGATATTGATTGTTAAGAAACACATCTCCATCCATCAGCTGACCTTGCTGCCAACAGACCAAATGTGCTGTGTTTGAATCCAGAGTTGAGAATTAGTTAATAACTTACACTTATAACTATTTCGTGTTTATACAGATTGCTTTGCTAAAAGATTTCTATAACAGTATATTTCTGACCAATGTATTGATAATCGTCATATCGTGATATAATCGTTAACGTGAGCTTTGTATCGTATCGTAACATGAGGTGCCCTGAGGTTCCCAAAGGTAGTTTAAACATTACAGCTCCAGAGGTGAGAGACAAATCTGAACAGCGGAGGCCGGTCAGACTCTTTCCTAATGCCTCCTGCGAATGAATGACTTTATCCTGGAGTTATTTGAACGTAGTAGTGAGAAAAGCTTGGTCTCTGCCCATGTACGGTCAGCAGTGGATGCTTTGGTGCAGAGTCGGAGAAGCGTCATGGATCTGTCTCGGCTTGAAAAAGAAGGTGAAGAATAGAGTCCTGGAGGAGCAGGGGTAAAACGTCTCATCTTTCACAAAGGAGGCAAACCGAGGCCAGACGCTTTTCATGAGGAGAACTAAATCAGCAGTGGAACAGGACTGTATCAGGGCGGACATAATCTGGCATGCACCTCGGAGCACCGCTGGTCTCACACCAGAGTAAAGCACTGCTGAGACACTGGTTTGGAACTGGTACCAGTACATTTACCACTGTAGTAAATGTTGATGAAAATATGGATATTAATGGGAAGAAAACAAAGACCATTAAAAAAGCATTTATTCTGCAATGAAATATCACCAAAGCTAGACCTTTTATACTTGCTTGTTTATTATGCTAAAGTTTGAAATGTTATACTAGCTTGTTTATTATGCTAAAGCTCAAGATGTTATTCTTGGCTGTTTATTATGCTAAAGCTAGATATTTTATACTTGCTTGTTTATTATGCTAACGCTAAAGATGTTATACTAGCTTGTTTATTATGCTAAAGCTCATGATGTTATTCTTGGCTGTTTATTATGCTAAAGCTAGAGATTTTATGTTATTTTAGTATAGCGTTATTGTTCGTTTATCTTCTGATGTGTGCTCCTCCTTCCTACTGTTCTGTAACTGATGAACCACGACACAACTTTGTCCCCGATCAAAAACGGACCGGTAGGGAGCCCTGAAAGGTAAAAAGCGTTGTCCACTCAGATTAGTTTATAGATTATATAGTTCTGGTCCTCACAATCATCACAAGAACAAACAGAACTTCACCTTGGGTTCCACATCCAATAATGATGAACTCAAGCATGAATCCTGCGGTCTCATGACACCGTGTTTTAAGATAAAACCAGATCAACCTTCATTTGTCCCTCAGTGGAAATTTCAATATCAGAGCTGAGCACATTACAGCACTATATAAGGAGAAAATATAAAACACATACATACAACTGCACTACACAGAAAGGACAACCCATCAGTTCGCCATTCACACACACACACACACACACCAGACTCATTTTTATGTGGGTGAAGTGTCTTGCTTAAGGACACAACCACAGTTTGGCACTTTAATAATCTGGTTGTACCACACCATAGTACAAATTACATTTCGTACTAAGGTCTGGATTTGCTTCATTGAGCTCCATTTACTGAGAGGTTAACTCCTTTTGCAGATTGAAACGATTGGATCTGAGTTTACCGTCACGTATGTATGCGCCCGAGTCTGTTGTTAGCATTTAGCATTTAGCCTAGCCATCTCCTTTGCTGCTAACGGAGCCTGTGGGGGGTAGCACCACAATCTTTGCCAGCGATTACATTTGCTAAACATTCCTCTTGCTCCAGCTTCAATTTCTTGACAGAACCAGACTGGATTACTTTACTATCGCATTCTTCGCTATTGCCAAACTACAACCTGCCCGTTCGGCGCAAACTCTTGACGTCACCCACATCTAACTACAACACCTGCCTCCCGCGTTCGCTGGTGGGTCGGTCGAAATTCAAGCGATTGTAATCGTAAACACAGGGAGCAGACCCAGACGATACATGCAGGTAAATGATGATTGAGCGGAGTGTACGGATGGCCAGGCTAGCACTTTACAGCTGTGGCATGTGGTGTTCCCATATGTCTCCCATCACAGTACGAAGGCCCTGCTTAGCTTCACAGGTCTGACTGGATCTAGCTAACACCTGCAGATTCTCTGGGATCAGCTGGAAATCCAAAACAAATGCAAAACATGAGCTAAAAAGAAAGAAAAATTCCACTAAATACAACCCCCCAATTACAACGCACCTCCAATAAAATGTTGTCCCTTTGAGTAAAATAGTTTGGGCACCCCTCGGTCTAAAGCCTACGTAAAACTTTTAAACTCAGACTAGTTCATGGACAGAGCTGTAGTCAAAAGATGAAGCTGAAGAAAATGGAAGTTCAAATGACTGTATATGTTATGTTATACAGTATGTTATGTATAAACTGTATAATGTAGGTGCTATACCAATAAACTTGCCTTGTCTATTCCTAACTCATCTTCAATAATGTGGTCTCACTGGTTCTGCTCCAATCCCTGTAACATTACCGGGACAGAGGAGAGACGCCGTCGGTGTCACCGCGGTCTGCTTTGAATGGGTTGAGACATGATCTGCTTTACCCTGCGGCTCACACCTCCTCCGCTCATCCATCCACTTTCTGCTGTCTGATCACCTTACACCAGCACCTGAACCCTGCACCAGGCACTTTACACCAGCACCTGAACCCTGCACCAGGCACTTTACACCAGCACCTGAACCCTGCACCAGGCACTTTACACCACCACCTGAACCCTGCACCAGGCACTTTACACCAGCACCTGAACCCTGCACCAGGCACTTTACACCAGCACCTGAACCCTGCACCCAGCACTTTACACCAGCACCTGAACCTAGCGCCTGTACCCTGCACCTGAACCCTGCACCCAGCACTTTACACCAGCACCTGAACCCTGCACCAGGCACTTTACACCAGCACCTGAACCCTGCACCAGGCACTTTACACCAGCACCTGAACCTAGCGCCTGTACCCTGCACCTGAACCCTGCACCCAGCACTTTACACCAGCACCTGAACCCTACACCTTACTTAAGGCAAGGCAAGGCAAGGCAAGTTTATTTGTATAGCACAATTCATACACAAGGCAACTCAAAGTGCTGAACAAGATAGCATTAAAATCATAAATAATCACAGAACATTAAAACGAAAGATAAAAATATAAAATCCCTCAGTTGTATGCACAGCTAAACAGCACCGTTTTTAACTTGGTTTTAAACATTGTCAGAGAGGAGGCCTGTCTCACATCTTCAGGAAGATTGTTCCAGATTTTAGCAGCATGAATCTGAAAAGCAGCCTCCCCATGTTTAGTCCTGACTCTGGGCACTAACAGGAGTCCAGTCCCTGTGCTCCTCAGAATCCGGGCTGGTTCATATGGGACTAACATGTCACTAATATATTTTGGTGCGAGGCCATGGAGAGACTTGTACACAAGCAGAGCTGTTTTAAAGTCTATTCTCTGAGCCACAGGAAGCCAGTGCAGAGACCTGAGGACTGGACTAATGTGGTCGTACTTCCTGGTTCTAGTCAGGACTCGAGCTGCTGCATTTTGAATGTACTGCAGCTGTTTTACAGTCTGTTTGGACAGACCTGTGAGCAGGCCATTGCAGTAGTCTAACCTACTGGAGACAAATGCATGGATAAGAATCTCCAAGTCTGCTTTAGACACTATGTTTTTTTTTGATCCTGGCAATGTTTTTTAGATGGTAAAAAGCTGCTGATGTTACTGATTTGATGTGGCTATTAAAATTTAAGTCTGAGTCCAGTATTACCCCTAGATTTCTGACCTTGTTTGAAGGTTTTAGGGAGAGAGACTGTAGATGACAGATGACGCTCTCTCTTTGTTTCTGGGGACCAAAGACAATCATTTCAGTTTTGTCTGCGTTTAGCTGAAGGAAGTTGTTTTGCATCCACTCACTGATCTGTTGGATACAGTGAAGGAGTGAGTCCACTGGTCCATGTTCTCCTGCAGTCAGTGAGACATAGATCTGAGTGTCGTCTGCATAGTTATGATAGGAAACTTCGTTTCTGCGTATTAACTGACCTAACGGCAGCATGTAGAGATTGAAAAGAAGAGGTCCCAGGATCGACCCCTGTGGTACTCCACAGGTCAGGGCCATATGATCTGAGACACAGTTTCCAATCTCCACAAAGTACTTCCTGTCTTCAAGGTAAGACCTAAACCAACTTAGGGCGGTGCCAGCGACGCCAACCCAGTCCTCTAGTCTCTGTAAGAGGATCTCATGGTCGACAGTGTCAAAGGCAGCACTCAGATCTAACAGGATTAGGATTGAGACTTTGCCTGCGTCAGTGTTTAGCCGGATATCGTTTGTAACCTTGACGAGAGCAGTCTCAGTGCTGTGGTGGGGTCTAAAGCCGGACTGAAACATATCAAATGAATTGTTGATTATAAGAAATCTATTTAGCTGTTGGTAGACAACTTTTTCAAGGACTTTCCCCATAAATGGCAGATTTGAGATGGGACGGTAGTTGTTAAGTACCGTAGCATCCAGACTGCTCTTTTTAAGCAGGGGCCTGATGACTGCAGTTTTCAGGGCCTTTGGGAATATTCCAGAATGAAGGGACATGTTTACTATCTGTGTGAGTGAAGGTAACAGACTGCTCAGAACAGACTTTAGAAATCTAGTGGGTAGTACATCCAGGCTGCATGTGGAGGCGCTCAGACTGGAGATTATCTCTTGGACAGTTTGATCATTTACAGGTGCAAAGTAAGTTAGCTCAAAGAGCCTTTTAGGCTGTTGGATGGTTATCTGTGGATTGGAAACAATGGCGTTTTTGATGCCTTGAACCTTGTCATTGAAAAAATTTGCAAACTCATTACATTTACTTTTGGAAGTTAGCTCTAATGGCATCTGAACAGAGGGGTTTGTTAATCTGTTAACTGTTGAAAACAGAACACGCAGATTGTTGCTGCAGCCTTCAATCATTTCAGAAAAATACCTTTCTCTCGTACTACGTAGCACCTGGTTAAACTCGCACAACTTATCTTTGAAGATCTCGTAATCAACCTGGAGGTTGGACTTACACCTGCACCTGAACCCTGCACTTCACACCAGAACCAGTACCAGCAGCTTACACCAGCACCTGAACCCTGCACCCAGCACTTTACACCAGCACCTGAACCTAGCGCCTGTACCCTGCACCTAAACCCTGCACCCAGCACTTTACGCCAGCACCTGAACACTGCACCAGGCACTTTACACCAGCACCTGAACCCTGCACCAGGCACTTTACACCAGCACCTGAACCCTGCACCAGGCACTTTACACCAGCACCTGAACCCTGCACCCAGCACTTTACAGCAGCACCTGAACCCTCCACCCAGCGCTTTACACCAGCACCTGAACCCTGCACCCAGCACTTTACACCAGCACCTGAACCCTGCACCAGGCACTTTACACCAGCACCTGAACCCTACACCCAGCACTTTACACCAGCACCTGAACCCTGCACCAGGCACTTTACACCAGCACCTGAACCCTGCACCAGGCACTTTACACCAGCACCTGAACCCTGCACCCGGCACTTTACACCAGCACCTGAACCCTGCACCCAGCATTTTACACCAGCACCTGAACCTAGCGCCTGTACCCTGCACCTGAACCCTGCACCCAGCACTTTACACCAGCACCTGAACCTAGCGCCTGTACCCTGCACCTGAACCCTGCACCCAGCACTTTACACCAGCACCTGAACCCTGCACCAGGCACTTTACACCAGCACCTGAACCTAGCGCCTGTACCCTGCACCCAGCACTTTACACCAGCACCTGAACCCTACACCTTACTTACACCTGCACCTGAACCCCGCACTTCACACCAGAACCAGTACCAGCAGCTTACACCAGCACCTGAACCCTGCACCCAGCACTTTACACCAGCACCTGAACCCTACACCTTACTTACACCTGCACCTGAACCCTGCACTTCACACCAGAACCAGTACCAGCCGCTTACACCAGCACCTGAACCCTGCACCCAGCACTTTACACTAGCACCTGAACCTAGCGCCTGTACCCTGCACCTGAACCCTGCACCCAGCACTTTACACCAGCACCTGAACCCTGCACCAGGCACTTTACAGCAGCACCTGAACCCTGCACCCAGCACTTTACAGAATCACCTGAACCCAGCACCTTACACCAGCACCTGAACTCTGCACCCAGCACCTTACACACCAGCCCCTTACACTAGCGCCCAGCTTCCAACAATTGCCCTACAGAGACAACAAACAATACAATATTTGATAGATTCAGAACAATTCAGACATTATGATATTTAATCCAACTCTTCATATCTTTGATAAAAATAGAACATAGACAAGAGAGGTCTGAGTCTGTATGTATACTGAGACAAAGGTCTGCATGTATACTGAGACAGAGGTCTGCATGTATACTGAGACAGGTCTGTCTGCATGTATACTAAGACAGGTCTAAGTCTGCATGTATACTGAGACAGGTCTAAGTCTGCATGTATACTGAGACAGAGGTCTGGGTCTGCATGTATACTGAGACAGGTCTAAGTCTGCATGTATACTGAGACCGTTTAACAATGTGTTTTAAAAAGGCAGACAAGACCTCTACCGCTCTGTCAATGGGGGAAGGGATTACAGTACAATGAGTCGTGTAGAAAGTTCCTGATATGTTTTGGGGAGATATGAAAGCACTAAGACCACAGCAACTGGAAACAGCATCTAAAACAGGGAGTTCTCCTCGCTGCGTCTGCTTCTTCACTTATGCTCCTCACCAGGGGCCCCCAGGAGCCACAGTGGGGGCCGTATTTACAGTTTGTGAATCTGCTGACAGCAAAGAATCCAGTGGTGAGGGGTCAGGGACACCATAGCAACCCACCAACACTACAAGATACCAACACCAGGCTAGGCAAGTTTATTTGTAAAGCACAGTCTATACACAAGGCAACTCAAAGGGCCGAACAAAACAAGATAGAGACAGTCACACAAGGAATTAAAATAATAATATAATAAGAAATGCAACAGAATTGTTTTTTAACCTGGATTAAAAGAGAGGAGAAGCTTGTCTCACATTTTAAGGAAGACTATTCCAGATTCTAGCTGCATGAATCTGAAACGCTGGCGCCACATGTTTAGTTCTCACTCTGGGCACCAGCAGGAGGCCAGTCCCTGTGCTCCTCTGAGTCCCAGCAAGAGGTCAGTCCCTGTGCTCCTCTGAGTCCCAGCAGGAGGTCAGTCCCTGTGCTCCTCAGAGTCTCAGCAAGAGGTCAGTCCCTGTGCTCCTCTGAGTCCCAGCAGGAGGTCAGTCCCTGTGCTCCTCAGAGTCTCAGCAAGAGGTCAGTCCCTGTGCTCCTCTGAGTCCCAGCAAGAGGTTAGTCCCTGTGCTCCTCTGAGTCCCAGCAAGAGGTCAGTCCTTGTGCTCCTCTGAGTCCCAGCAGGAGGTCAGTCCCTGTGCTCCTCAGAGTCTCAGCAAGAGGTCAGTCCCTGTGCTCCTCTGAGTCCCAGCAGGAGGTCAGTCCCTGTGCTCCTCAGAGTCTCAGCAAGAGGTCAGTCCCTGTGCTCCTCTGAGTCCCAGCAGGAGGTCAGTCCCTGTGCTCCTCTGAGTTGGTTCCTATGACACTAACATGTCACAGATGTACTTTGGAGCGAGGCCATAGAGAGACTTGTAACAAACAGAACTGTTTTAAACTCTATTCTCTGAGCCACAGGAAGCAGAGACCTGAGACCAGGACTAATGTGAGAGGACTTCCTGGTTCTTGTGAGGACTCGAGCTGCAGCGTTTTGAATGTACTGCAGTTGTACTTACAGCAGTCTGAATATTGCGTTTGTGATGCCAGTACTGAAGCAAAACAGCGGCGATAAAGGACCTGGCAGACTTCAGGGTCAGTCAGGTGAAAGTGGATCCCAGGCTCCAAAAACCAACAGTCCCACAATGTGAGGAATGTCCTGTGTACATGCAGGCTTTACCCCTCCCCCCCTCACAGAGCTGAGAAAACTGCGGACTGGGGGCCACATACGGTCTGATTCACCTTTCCATGTGGCCCCCAGGCCCCCCCTGTCTGTCCACCCCCACGTGCCTTCTGTTTATTTATTTTGTAAGAAACCAAAGATGGTTTCTCACAAAAAAGGGCCTCTTCTTAAAGGCATTTTTGTTCTAAAGAATTAACCCAAAACATTAGTAATAATTGGTCAAAAACATGAATTTGTAATACAGTCTGTAAGCCAAGCCTGTAAGTCCAGTTTTGGTTCAATCCAAAAACAATATCAGAACCCATTATCAATGAAGTCATCATTTGCTCTAAATCCCTTCATAATGTGAAACGGAGAAAACCAAACAAAAGCCACAGATGCTGAAGACCAGACTGAGACACACTTTTTGGCTCTAGTTTCCCTCTTCTCTTCTTTCAATAGTTTAATGAAGTCATTTCATAACTGGAGGAGATTTCAAAATGTTAACTGTGACTGGACTTACCCCTGTCCTCCACACAGGCCCCTGCCCTAACATCTTAGGTTAGCAATGTTCATCAGTTCTTGTTGTTCGTTGTACAGTCTGACACAGCCCCCTCAGGGAGAAGTGCTCTGGTTCTGAACATATGAGCCTGTCACAGTGTGGAGCGTGTCAGGACCCACAGCCCTGGAGGCAAAACTGTCACTGCTCTTTACAAACTCACACAACAGGCCTCCCCTGCACGGGACGTCCCACAAACACAACAACCTCTCTGTCTCAGTATACATACAGACCTCTGTCTCAGTATACATACAGACTTCTGTCTCAGTATACATACAGACCTCTGTCTCAGTATACATACAGACCTCTGTCTCAGTATACATGCAGACCTCTGTCTCAGTATACATACAGACCTCTGTCTCAGTATACATACAGACTTCTGTCTCAGTATACATACAGACCTCTGTCTCAGTATACATACAGACTTCTGTCTCAGTATACATACAGACTTCTGTCTCAGTATACATACAGACTTCTGTCTCAGTATACATACAGACCTCTGTCTCAGTATACATACAGACTTCTGTCTCAGTATACATACAGACTTCTGTCTCAGTATACATACAGACCTCTATCTCAGTATACATACAGACTTCTGTCTCAGTATACATACAGACCTCTGTCTCAGTATACATACAGACCTCTGTCTCAGTATACATACAGACCTCTGTCTCAGTATACATACAGACTTCTGTCTCAGTATACATACAGACCTCTGTCTCAGTATACATACAGACTTCTGTCTCAGTATACATACAGACCTCTGTCTCAGTATACATACAGACTTCTGTCTCAGTATACATACAGACTTCTGTCTCAGTATACATACAGACCTCTATCTCAGTATACATACAGACCTCTGTCTCAGTATACATGCAGACCTCTGTCTCAGTATACATGCAGACCTCTGTCTCAGTATACATGCAGACCTCTGTCTCAGTATACATGCAGACCTCTGTCTCAGTATACATGCAGACCTCTGTCTCAGTATACATGCAGACCTCTGTCTCAGTATACATACAGACCTCTGTCTCAGTATACATGCCGACCTCTGTCTCAGTATACATACAGACCTCTGTCTCAGTATACATACAGACCTCTGTCTCAGTATGCATACAGATTTCTATCTCAGTATACATGCAGACCTCTGTCTCAGTATACATGCAGACTTCTATCTCAGTATACATACAGACTTCTGTCTCAGTATACATACCTCTGTCTCAGTATACATGCAGACTTCTATCTCAGTATACATACAGACTTCTGTCTCAGTATACATACCTCTGTCTCAGTATACATGCAGACTTCTATCTCAGTATACATGCAGACCTCTGTCTCAGTATACATACAGACCTCTGTCTCAGTATACATACAGATTTCTATCTCAGTATACATGCAGACCTCTGTCTCAGTATACATGCAGACCTCTGTCTCAGTATACATACAGACCTCTGTCTCAGTATACATGCAGACTCAGACCTCTCTTGTCTCAGTCAATTCTCTATTTTATTCAAATACATATAAAGTTGGATTAAATATCATATAATGTGAATTGTTATCTACAAACAAAGACATTCAGATATATTTGTTTTTTTCCTCGTGACGTTTGGACAGACTGAAACATGTTGAGAGTCGGGACGAGTCTGGACTTTTGGACAGAGTCCGTTCTATTCTATGAGGCTAATGCAAGCCATGTGCTGCAGGTCAGAGGGGCGTAACCATAGAGACGGCTCCAAACAGCTGGACACGTGCTGTCTGTGGAACGCACAACAATGGTCTTAATGTGGGCCGTCATGGCCTCATCAGCAGCTCCTCCTCAGCAGCTCCTCCTCAGCAGCTCCTCCTCAGCAGCTCCTCATCAGCACCTCCTCAGCAGCAGCTCCTCACACACTGCTCTGGTCCAAAGCTCAGCGCTGGTTTCAAGAACATAACCAGTCTCATTATAGAAGTGGGAGACCAAGGTTCAGAATAGCTTGTTTATTCAGAGTCACTTCTAACAGCGATCAGGTCGACCAGACCAGAGGAATCAAGACCAATCCAGTCACTGACTTTCAGATACCAGGGATGAAGACGGACCAGAGGCGGTGGATAATCACAAAAGGAGGGTCCAGCGATGGTAGAAAGTCAGGGTGCAGTGGTGAAGACAGGACCCATATCTGTGAACCTCGGTGATGGTTTATGTCTGTGTGACTGTGGTGTCTGTCTTATGTGTATTTTCAATGTAGCAGCTGTGAGTCCAAGACAAATTTTCTACGGGACATAATAAATTAATCTAGAATCTTGAATCTTGAAATCTTGACATTTTGAAAAACTGCGTCCACTGGTCTGAAAGCAAAAATATCTGACAAAGGTAGAGTGGCTAAAAAGTCCTAATAAGAAATAATGGACACTATCCCTAACCCTAAAAGTGCGGATCTTTCTTCGAGCTTTTGTCAAACGACGGCCGTTGAAGGATGTCAGTGTCCAGGGACCGGCGGCTGGTAGGTGAGGTCCAAACTCAGGTGGCTCCAGCCTGGGGGGAGGGCAGGTGCTGTGGCTGGTGCTGGTGTGTGGGAAGAATAGGAGCCAGTAAAGCTTCTTCTATTCCTGTCATTTGATTGCATGTTATTGTATATTTGACTTCAGTAACCACGGACTGCGGATGTCTCAGAGCAGTGTCCGTTCACATCCAAAATAAAGAAGCACATATTCTCAAAAACATCTTTAAGGAACAACACGGACAGGAATCATGCTGGACTGGATTGTTTTATGGGATTAAAAGTTGTAAACAGTCGGTATGTAACTGAGTGGTTGAAACAGCGCAGTCCCATCACAGCAGCTCAATAATAATCTTATCTCTGGAGCGAGCTCTGCCAATGCCTCAGCTCTGTCCTGGACTTCTCTGAACCACTTATTATTCTGACAACATTTTACTTTTACTCCTTTCGTCTCTCCAGGACCGATGCAGGTTTGAACCAGCGCCACCTGCTGTCTGCTAACGCTGTGTGAGGATACAAGTCTGAGTTGATGTCAGACTTTGGAAAACCTCGCTATGGGACATTTCAATACATTTCAGTCACTGTCAGCAGCATGTATCACCTTATCTGACTGTGAGGACTGGTGCGTCACCAAAGAAGTGCTGATGGTGTAGTTTAAAGAACACTGTCATGTGAAGGGATGGCATCCGGGTGGAGAGTGACCGAACGTCTTCATTCCATTTATTCAACTCGTTCACTCCTACACAAGCTTTGTTCTGTTGTGTTGTGATTCGTGGTCTTCCTGTCATAATGTGTAAAGAAGTTTGAAATCTGCAGCTTTTGCACAGAATGCTTTGAAGGAAGGCGGCACGGTGGCTGAGTGGATAGCACTCTCGCCTCTCAGCAAGAAGGTCCTGGGTTCGAATCCCGGTTGGGCCTTTCTGAGTGGAGTTTGCATGTTCTCCCTGTGTCTGCGTAGGTTTCCTCTGGGTGCTCCGGTTTCCCCTACCACTAAAAATATGTACAATAGGTCTGGCATGTGCCTCCTGTACTGGCACCCCCAGTCCCAAAAAAAAACAATTGTAAACCGCTTTGGGACTCCGATGTGCAGTGAAAAGTGAATCTTAATCTGAGTACATTCTGTTAAAGTAGCAATATGAGAGAATTTAATGTCAAGTCATCATTAAAGGGCCCTAATCTGTCAAATTAATAAAACATGTTATTTTCCAATACTTCTTTAACTGATATCTTGTAAAGGTTGCTATTGTTTTCATTTCGATGTCCCGCTCTCCACCGTTTTACCAATCAGAAAGTCTGTGATCCGGTTTGCCAGAACTCACCGCATCCAGCTAATCTCACTGGTAAAGTAACATGTGGCCCAGAGCTAAAAAAGGTCTTGTTACGATTCTCAAATAATTAACGACAAAACAAGGAATAAAACAAGGATTTCTATCTTTGTGAAAAAGGTGTTGGGTATAGATTTGTTGTTGACAAAACTCTTGTCTATTCAGCTAAGGTCCCAGCTGGATTCGTCAGCATATCTGGCAACCTGAGTCAGAGAGAGTGGGAGAGGAGTACAGATTATTGACCATGATTGCAGTACCACTTTTGGCCAGATTGAAGGGTTGAAGGGCAGTTGCCTTATTTTCTCATTTTAAGGGAGACGTTTCTTGTGTCTTTTTAAAACAAGATCATTTTGCTTTGTCCCATTGGCAAATCTTGTTTTTAGGCAGAATATACTCAAATTACAGGAATAAAGGACAATTTTCTACTTCTGGGTGGATCATCAAGACAACAAAAGTGGAGAGAGCGGTTCTTTCCTCAAATTTTGGAAAATCCTTCTACAGTATATACCTTTAAGATACATTTACCCGAAAATTGAGCCATTTTTGACTAATTTTTCATCACTTTTTTGCATTCTAATCATCAACGCTGAACATTATGAATGGTAGTGTTCTGCGTGGGTTTGAAATGATAACTGTATGAACAGAACTAGTCCTTGAGAATGCCATTTCAAACGGACGAATCATTCACAAAGTTTGCTTTAGGAACGAGAATGGGATTTCTGTTACACACTGATTATAGTATTTATGACTCAAGTGTGATCGTTGACTCACACAAGCAAAGACCTGAACTATCTTTAGCAGAGGAGGGTGTGGTCCCATGCGACACCGCGGTAACCATGACAACGGCTTGGCCATGTGGGAGAGAGAGAGAGAGAGGGAGGAGAGGTGAGCACCCGTGGGAGAAGCACCCCAAGGACACACCTGCTGAGACTTTGGCAAAGACACTGATCTGTGGCTGAATGAAAATAACACACGTTTTTACAATCATAAGCAACTGTAATCATTATGAAACTAGTAGCTCGCCAGCCCCTTTCAGGTAGCTCCCCAAAGGAATTAGAATTTAACACATGATCTTGAATGATTCACTTTTGAGTCATAACACATCTATTAGTAGTTAAAAAAAATAGGGATATACAGTATTATGGTAAATTCTACATGTGTTTTGTCAGAATTATTACAAAGATTTTTATTATGACTGCAAAACGAAGTAGCTCTCTGCCTCTTCTGTTGTATAAAAGTAGCTCTCCGATTGAAAAAGGTTGGAGACCCCTGATATAGACACTGCAAAAAATGATTGAATATGAGGTTATATTTGCTTGAATCGGGCGGTTTTGGTCTTAATCTGAGCACATTCTGCGTTTCTGTAGTTTCATTTATTCATTTCAAGAGAGACATTTCTTGTATCTTTTGAAAACAAGATCATTGGCAATAAATAATTAGCAATTTTGGACTTTTTTCATTACTCATTATTCCTTTCATTTTTGCAACGTGAAGCAAATGAGCTGAAGACAATGCATGTGTTTTGTTATTGATTCACATGGTACTGATTCACAAACTGAAAACAAATCTGAGCAGGAAATCATAAAGATCATCATAAAGAGTGAAAAGGAGAAATATGTCATTGTTTTTTCCGTGACGGACACAGACTGAATAGAAAAACTTGCAGGTGACAGCCAGATCCAGTCTGACCTCAGAAGCTAAGCAGGGAAGGGTCTGGTTAGTACTGTGATGGGAGACCTCTGGGAACACCTGGTTCCACAGTGGAGCGGCTGCGGCTGTAAAGTGACAAACTGTGGATTGAGTGAAGCAGATCAATTTCCAATTTACACAATACTATAATGAGAACCACACACGGGCGCGTCTTTTACTGCAAAAAGTGATGAAAAATAAGTCAAAATTCATTACATTTGGCCAAATGTATCTTAATTTGAGCGCATCCTGACTGTGACGAAAAACAAGATTTGTAAATGGGAAAAAGCAAAATAATCTTGTTTTAAAAAGATACAAGAAATGTCTCCCTCTGAATGAGAAAATAAAGCAACAGTTCTTGTAATAAGACTAAACGGCTTTGTCCCATTGGAGAATCTTGTTTTAAGATTAAGTAAAAACGTTGGATTTAAACAATTATTACTGAATATATTATCACTTGTCGCAGTGTTCTCCAGACAAACGCAGAGCTCGGGCCCTGACCCCTCCACACTTCACTTCAATGACAACAGTCGTTATCTCAAAGGACTTTACAGTAATATCGATTCACCAACAACAGATCAAACATAAGAAATTGAATGATAAAAACAACTAGAAACTTGCAATGGCTGAAGCCATTGCGATTGACTGCGGAACAGATCTAATGTGGAAATCTGCTAAAAAAAATCCTTGAAATCCTTTAAAAGGCCTTGAAACTGTTAAAATACTTGATAGATATTTGAAACTCCTGAAGTCCTTGAAATTGTTGAAACCTTTAAACTCCTGAAATCCTTGAAACTGTTGAAACATTGAAACTCCTGAAATCCTTGAAACTTTTTTTAAACCTGGAAACTGTTGAAAGTGTGGAAACTCCTGAAATCCTTGAACCTCCTGATATCCTTGAAACTGGTTAAATTCTTAAACAGTTGAAATCCTTGAAACTACTGAATGTATTGAAAGTGTCCTTGAAACTGAAAAATCCCCTCACCGCTGAAACAATTTGGTTCCTGTAACTAAGGAAACCTGGTCTGTGGTCATTATCTGGTGGTGGTCTGAGTCTTCGTTTGGGTCTTGGTCTGGTGGTATAATGCAACCTATTAGGTTGCATTATACTGGTTTACATGGAAAAATCCCTATTAGGTTGCATTATACTGGTTTACATGGAAAAATCCCTATTAGGTTGCATTATACTGGTTTACATGGAAAAATCCCTATTAAGTTGCATTATACTGGTTTACATGGAAAAATCTCTATTAAGTTGCATTATACTGGTTTACATGGAAAAATCCCTATTAGGTTGCATTATACTGGTTTACATGTACAAATCCCTATTAAGTTGCTTTATACTGGTTTACATGTAAAAACCCCTATTAGGTTACATTATAGTGGTTTACATGTAAAAATCCTTATTAAGTTGCATTATACTGGTTTACATGTAAAAACCCCTATTAAGTTCCATTATACTGGTTTACATGTAAAAACCCCTATTAAGTTCCATTATACTGGTTTACATGTAAAAACCCTATTAAGTTGCATTATACTGGTTTACATGGAAAAATCCCTATTAAGTTGCATAATACTGGTTTACATGGAAAAATCCCCATTAAGTTGCATTATACTGGTTTACATGAAAAAAACCCTATTAAGTTGCATTATACTGGTTTACAAGGAAAAATCCCTATTAAGTTGCATTATACTGGTTTACATGGAAAAATCCCTATTAAGTTGCATAATACTGGTTTACATGGAAAAATCCCCATTAAGTTGCATTATACTGGTTTACATGTAAAAAACCCTATTAAGTTGCATTATACTGGTTTACATGGAAAAATCCCTATTAAGTTGCATTGTACTGGTTTACATGGAAAAAACCCTATTAAGTTGCATTATACTGGTTTACATGGAAAAAACCCTATTAAGTTGCATTATACTGGTTTACATGGAAAAAACCCTATTAAGTTGCATTATACTGGTTTACATGTAAAAACCCCTATTAAGTTGCATTATACTGGTTTACATGGAAAAATCCCCATTAAGTTGCATTATACTGGTTTACATGAAAAAAACCCTATTAAGTTGCATTATACTGGTTTACATGAAAAAACCCTATTAAGTTGCATTATACTGGTTTACATGGAAAAATCCCTATTAAGTTGCATAATACTGGTTTACATGGAAAAATCCCCATTAAGTTGCATTATACTGGTTTACATGTAAAAAACCCTATTAAGTTGCATTATACTGGTTTACATGGAAAAATCCCTATTAAGTTGCATTGTACTGGTTTACATGGAAAAAACCCTATTAAGTTGCATTATACTGGTTTACATGGAAAAAACCCTATTAAGTTGCATTATACTGGTTTACATGGAAAAAACCCTATTAAGTTGCATTATACTGGTTTACATGTAAAAACCCCTATTAAGTTGCATTATACTGGTTTACATGGAAAAATCCCCATTAAGTTGCATTATACTGGTTTACATGAAAAAAAAACCCTATTAAGTTGCATTATACTGGTTTACATGAAAAAACCCTATTAAGTTGCATTATACTGGTTTACATGGAAAAATCCCTATTAAGTTGCATTATACTGGTTTACATGGAAAAATCCCTATTAGGTTGCATGATTACACTGAAGTCCTTGAAACTGCTGAAGTCCTTGAAACTGCTGAAGTCCTTGAAACTGCTGAAGTCCTTGAAACTGTTGAAGTCCTTGAAACTCTTGAAATCTTGAAACTGCTGAAATCCTTGAAACTGTTGAATCCTTGAAACTGTTGAATCATTGAAACTGTAGAAATGTCTGAAAGAGCTGAAGTCCTATTAAAATGCATGGGCCTATTAAAATGCATTGCAGAATTCTCAATGCAGATTTTTGTCCGATTGCGGAAAAACCGGAAATCGCTGAAGTCCCAAAAGTAATAGCAATAATCTCCCAAACATGTGGAACGTTTTGATGTATAACTTGTGGAAATTGTTGAAAATGTGAAAGCTGTGAAACGTGTCAAAAAAAATGACGGAATAAAGAAATACAAAACCAATGGTTGACTGCGGAAGGTTCCGCAGTCAATCAAAAAGAGCCATTGGTCCATAAGGGGCAGAGACCAAGGTCCATAAATGTTGATAAATGTCGAGGAGAACTTTGAAGTTGCTACGGAAACCTTCATTATTACAGCTGCAGTCCAAGTCTGTTTTCAGCGGCTTGCATTGGGGGCTGTGATTTTTTGTTTTGACCACAACAATGCTGCTTTTCTACATTCAAAGATGATTCAATTCAGTTTTAATATTCTATAGTCTGAACTTCTTCCCACTCCTTTTTGAGATGGATTTGTGTTATTAAAACAAAACATACTGTATAATTGCATATTATCATGTATGGTTTCTTTTTTCTATTATGTTGTTGTTTTGTTGTTGTTCTTTGTTCTTGTTTGCCATGGCTCGAAATAAGGTATTCATTCATTGTATCCATTCATCCATAGTCCAAAAACATGGATATTGTTGCCCTATAGCTTCAAAACTGATAACTACTTAACACAAAAGAGGAACAAAATACATTTATTCACTATTTAGCCTCATTGTCTGTACTTCCACAAGAGGAGATAGTTTAAAGTCAACTTGGTGGTTCAGTTCCCTTTCTGTAATGTGAGCGTGTGGCAGAGCACTTTGTCTGATGTCCGTGGAAAGACTTCTCGCTGGACGGAGCAGGAAGAGACGCAGAAGCAGGAAACATGTGCAGGACGTAGATCTGAGCTCAAAACACCGGACGGCCCGGTTGCCAGCACAAATGTGGAAAACAGGGAAATCCATACGTTTATTATAACGGACTTCAGGGAGACGTATGACGAGTCTCCCTCTAAACGACAACCATGACACATCCTCGTCCTAGTCCTGCCGTTAGCGAACATCACCGCTAATATCACCGCTATTATCATGGCTAACTTCCCAGCTAACATTACAGCTAATATCACCGCTAAAATCACTGCTAATTTCACCGCTAAAATCCCCGCTAATATCACCGCTAAAATCACTGCTAATTTCACCGCTAAAATCACCGCTAAAATCACCGCTAAAATCACTGCTAATTTCACCGCTAAAATCACCGCTAAAATCACCGCTAAAATCACCGCTAAAATCACTGCTAATTTCACCGCTAAAATCCCCGCTAAAATCACCGCTAAAATCACTGCTAATTTCACCGCTAAAATCCCCGCTAATATCATTGCTAATATCACTACTAAAATCCCCGCTAATATCACCGCTAAAATCCCCACTAATATCCCCGCTAAAATCCCTGCTAAAATCCCCGCTAAAATCCCCGCTAATATCACCGCTAAAATCCCCGCTAAAATCCCCGCTAATATCACCGCTAAAATCACTGCTAATTTCACCGCTAAAATCACCGCTAAAATCACTGCTAATTTCACCGCTAAAATCACCGCTAAAATCACCGCTAAAATCACTGCTAATTTCACCGCTAAAATCCCCGCTAAAATCACCGCTAAAATCACTGCTAATTTCACCGCTAAAATCCCCGCTAATATCACCGCTAATATCACTACTAAAATCCCCGCTAATATCACCGCTAAAATCCCCACTAATATCCCCGCTAAAATCCCTGCTAAAATCCCCGCTAAAATCCCCGCTAATATCACCGCTAATATTGTTGTTTTGTGTTTTGTGTCTTACCATTTTTTTATTTATTGCTAATTTCTAAACTGATCCAGACCAGAGTAGAAGGAATGGTCCCAACCAAGCAGACCAAGCGGAAACCCACTGGAGGAATGCTAAACTTGTTTTGAATAGTGCTAATAAAGCATTCAGAAATTCACTCTGAACCAGAGCAGAGAAAAATGGTCTGAACCAGAAATAATAGCAGGGCTTTTTGTCGTGAACTAATCAGACCTTTATCTAGAGCAGACCAGGGAGAGTCCAGAGAGAGAGACCAGAGAGTGACCAGAGAGAGAGACCAGAGAGAGACAAGAGAGAGTGACCAGACCGAGAGACCAGAGAGAGACCAGAGAGAGAGACCAGAGAGAGAGACCAGAGAGTGACCAGAGAGAGAGACCAGAGAGAGACAAGAGAGAGTGACCAGAGAGTGACCAGAGAGAGAGACCAGAGAGAGACAAGAGAGAGAGACCAGAGCGAGAGACCAGAGCGAGAGACCAGAGAGAGACAAGAGAGAGAGACAAGAGAGAGAGACCAGAGAGTGACCAGAGAGAGAGACCAGAGAGAGACAAGAGAGAAACCAGAGAGAGAGAGACCAGAGAAAGACCAGAGAGAGAGACCAGAGAGAGACAAGAGAGAGTGACCAGACCGAGAGACCAGAGAGAGACCAGAGAGAGAGACCAGAGAGTGACCAGAGAGAGAGACCAGAGAGTGACCAGAGAGAGAGACCAGAGAGAGACAAGAGAGAGAGACCAGAGCGAGAGACCAGAGAGAGACAAGAGAGAGAGACAAGAGAGAGAGACCAGAGAGTGACCAGAGAGAGAGACCAGAGAGAGACAAGAGAGAAACCAGAGAGAGAGAGACCAGAGAAAGACCAGAGAGAGAGACCAGAGAGAGACAAGAGAGAGTGACCAGACCGAGAGACCAGAGAGAGAGACCAGAGCGAGAGACCAGAGAGAAACCAGAGAGAGAGAGACCAGAGAAAGACCAGAGAGAGAGACCAAAGCGAGAGACCAGAGAGAGAGACCAAAGCGAGAGACCAGAGAGAGAGGCCAGTGAGAGACCAGAAAGAGAGACCAGAGAGAAAGACCAGAGAGAGAAACCAAAGAGAGAGGCCAGTGAGAGACCAGAGAGAGTGACCAGAGAGAGACAGCAGTGAGACCAGAGAGAAAGACCAGAGAGAGTTCAGAGAGACCAGAGCAAGTGACCATAGAGAGAGACCAGAGAGAAGCCACATTGAGACCACAGTGAGACAACAGCGAGACCAGAGAGAGACACCAAAATACTGCACATGTGAAAACCAGAGATGGACCCAAACTGATTTAGAGCCAGGAACAAGTGTGTGTGTGTGTGTGTGTTTTTTTTTGTGTGGTTTGAAGTTGCGTTCACCTTTAACATGGCAGCAACCAGCAAAAGTAAACACAAAATAAATTCCCATTCTGTTACAAGACTTTGATCAAATTCAAACAGTTGAACTTCAGCCACGCATGTTTTCAACCTCAGCTATACAAAGGTTGGGGACCCCTGCTCTAAAGATTAAACCCAAAATGCAACTGGTAATAACAATTTTAAAATCATCTGTAAATCAGTCAACACTCGACTTCAATCCAAAAAATGAACTTGTGTCGTTCAGAAAACCACAAGCAAAAAATAAAATCTAAAAAATGTAAAGCATGAAGAAACAAAGATGACCACAAACGCAAAACAAACCTTTGGGATAATAAATGACAAGTTGTTATTATTCAATAAAATCCCATATTTTTCTTCTGTCTGAAAGTCCTGTCTACTGGACCACATCAGGACCAGGAATTTGGAACATTGACACCAGTTCTAGACTCCTTTAAGAGAGCATAATGAGACCATAGAGAGAGCAGAGAGAGAGAGACCAGGGAGAGAGACCAGAGAGAGATCAGAGAGAGACCAGAGAGAGATCAGAGAGAGAGAGAGAGAGAGATCAGAGAGAGATCAGAGAGAGATCAGAGAGAGATCAGAGAGAGATCAGAGAGAGATCAGAGAGAGAGACCAAAGAGAGAGACCTGAGATAAATCAGAGAGAGCAGAAAGACCAATGGAGATCAGAGAGAGTCCAGAGAGAGAGATACCAGAGAGATCAGAGAGAGAGAGACCAGAGAGAGAGAGACCAGTGAGATCAGAGAGAGACCAAAGAGAGAGACCAAAGAGAGAGACCAGGGAGAGACCAGAGAGAAACCAGAAAGAGCTCGAGACCAGCGAGAGAGACCAGTTAGACCAAAGCCATCATCTCCCTCCTATCCTCAAACGGGACAGAGGCTGTGGGTCCTGTCACTGCCCTGTCCCCTCCACACCACTCACCTTCAGACAGCTCCAGCTCCAGCTCGGCCAGCTTCTCCCGGACCTCCGCGGGCACACAGGCCCCCCCTGAGGTCCCCCCTCCAGACGACACCCCAGGCTCCACCATCACGCCCTGGGCCCGCTCTGCCATGCTCCTCCGAATTTCCAAATCCTCCGAGACCCAGGGAGGAGCAGAGGGTGCGCAGACCGGTGGACCGTCCCTCTCCTCGGGGCTTCAGGGAGATGCTTCCGACGGCATTGGAGACGACCGGTCCAAACTGGCTTCTCAAAAGTCACTAAAGCTGCTCTATCCACACTTGATCCTAATTTGAGAAAGTTCTACACATCCACATATGTTTACGTCTATATAACAAGTGGTAATAACTTAAGTGCTTTGTAGGACCTTGGTCTATGTGAAATGTGCTATATAAATAAAAATGACCTACTTATATACATAAAGGTGTGGTTGTAATGTCCAGTGTAAGAGCATTATAATAATCTCTGTGGTATCAACACAGAGGGCACTTTTGAGCAAAGGCCTATTTGCGATGTTGATTCTTTTTGCTTTTATGACAAAAAAAAACAGATGAATTACATTATGGACACATGATAAAATATAATTACATTGTGGGTTTTGGCGTATATTACACACTCTGCTAATCTCAACAATAGAAATAACAGGTTGAAAGAACTGCTAGTGACAGCCCTAATCCAAACTATTGCAGATTTTCATATGTCTAAAGGCTGTAAATATCTCAGTTGGATTAAGTCCTGCTCATAGTTTAGACCTCGCCTTCCTTACAAACAGCTCTCCAGAGATCTTCTGAGGCCAACGTTGATTTATTCCTGCTGATATAGTTTAGCCTCAGCCCAGGTGAACAGATACATCCAGAGCAGCGCCCCAAAGCAGCTCTCCAAAGGTCTTTGTAGAATATTCCTTCTTTATCCGCGCGTTATTCCTGTCATGGTTTAGGTTGAATCCCGGTGGATCCACGCCTTTGCGCGCAGCTCACTGGACAGTCGAACGGGAGAATAGCTTCCTCCTGACTCCAGACTGGGTGGTGCTGCTGTCTTCTGCAGATGTGCTCCAAAAACGTGTCCAAAGGCGAGCGTCATAACACCAATGACAGCAGGCAAAGGTGGCTCCGCGTGTTTAACAGGCCGTGCGTAACCGGGCTGTGTGTGCGGAGAGGTCAGGCTGTGCGGAGAGGTCTGGGTGTGTGGAACCCGCAGATGTGCGCCTCTGGTCCGGACACAACTCATTCAAGTCCCTACTCCGCTCCGCTCCGCTCGCCCTCTCCGTGCGCGTTCCCAGAGTGCAGCCGTGAGTGCGTCATGCGCGCCCTGCAACGTGCTCGTAACAGATGTGCGCGTGCGTGTGGGGACTGATGTGAGGAGGCTGCTCTCTGCTGGACAGAGAGCAGAAGATAGAGACTGTTTGCACATTTCCTGAGAACATGTGATCTTATTGAAGCCAAATGTCAGATGTACATTTCTCCATCGTTAGAGTAAGTTTCATCTTTTCTCAAATAAACAGTTTTTTGTGTTTAAATGTGAGAAGGTTAGAAAATGCTTCTCTGACCCTGCTCATAAGTCTCCATCCCCCAGCTCTCATTGGTCCCTGCAGTCCTCTGTGGTGGATGTGAAGGATGTCATTTCTCCTTTCTGATTATGACGCTGAACTTTCTTCAGTTACTGGAAATTCCTGGTCCACCTTGCTGTCCTCAGCGTGGCCCTATGATGTTATAATTTTTGAATGTTTGTTAAGATTCTAAAACACATTGATGGAAAAACAAGTTGCTTGGATTGATAGATGCATGGTACAGAGGGAAAGAAGGACAGGAGCTCAAAAAGAACCCATGGTTCCACACCTGGAACTTCAATCTGAGGATTTTGTGCAACATATGAGCGTACGCAAAAGTCAAAAGTATACTGTAGATATATATATATATATAGGATGGCCCCCTGGACGAACTCTGTGGAGGAGGTGAGGGACAGGGGGCCCCTGGAAAGCAGAATGTGGAGCTGACTGTAGCAGAGCTTGGGAGCTCATTCAGTGGAAGACTGAGGCCTCAGTGCTACCGAAGGGACTTCATCCCCACCGCTGTCAGACTGTACAATAAGTCACTGTAATGACCTGCACTAGGACTGTAAACTTGCACAAAAGTTACTCCATATCTTTTCACTTGTTCTTGTCGCTCCTGAGTCGTCCTCTGCCAAATGTGACAAGTACATTTCTCCATCGTGAGATCAATACATTTTTATCCACTCTTCTCTTGTCTTACGTGTGTCTAGAGGTCTTTTTAAAAGTGTTGTGTCAGACATGAATAGAACTTGTAAAAACCAAACAAAAACAGACTTATAACAGTCTCAAACGTCACACATGTGCTCTGTAAATAAAAGACACTTAGGAGCATCAGAGCTGTGCAGACTTTTATCTTTTTTCATTGTGTACTTTTGGAATCCCGCTGGATCAGGCCGTTGGGATGTGCGTTCTTACTTAAAACCTTCTTGAAAAGCCTCAGCGAAGGCCACAGTGAGAAAAGCAAATTGCAAGACCAAGAAAACCTCTTACACTGACAAAATATACACAAAAAACATGTCTTTATTTGTTTAAAACTTGTAAAAAAAATTGTCACACATAAAGGAAACATTAGCTGCGTCTGTGGAAGTTCAAACGGTTCACAAAGAAAATTAAGATAAAAATGACTGAAAATACAGTATTTAGCATTTTAGCATATTAACAGTGTTTTAGCTGCACTGACTTTGCATATTATTCGGTTAAATACAATAAGTATGGACTAAAAGAACAGAACTAAAACTACTCTGCACTTCATTCAAGCGCTGGAAAAGCACTTTTGGCGCACAGTGTTTTTAGTTGTTAGAAGGACACGATATACGTCTGGTGTGAATTCTACATTTTTAAACGTTTGCGCATCTACAGTAACGGCTACAGTATGTGAACATTGTATTATGCGCGGTTATGTGTGTGTGTGTGGCGACTGAGAGCCACAGCCTTCATCTATACATCCAAACAGCCTCTTCATGACTGTGTTTGTAGTATTTGCTGTTAGGAGCTGCTCTGTCTGCCCCTCTGTGCTTACCCCGCTGTACCCCGCTGTACCCCTCTGTACCCCCTGTGCCCCTCTGTTCCCCTCTTTTCCCCTGTGTTCCCCTCATTACCCCTCTCTGTTCCTCTGCACCCCTCTGTACCCCCTGTGCCCCTCTGTTCCCCTCTTTTCCCTCTGTGCCCTCTGTACCCTCTGCACCCCTCTGTGTACCACTCTGTTACCCTCTTTACCTTTCTGTTTCCCTCTGTACCCCTCTGTTCCCTCCCCTAACCCCTCTGTACCCCTCTGTAACCCTCTGTACCCATCTGTACCCTCTGTACCCCTCTGTTCCCCTCTGTACCCCTCTGTACCCATCTGTACCCTCTGTACCCCTCTGTTCCCCTCTGTAACCCTCTGTACCCATCTGTACCCTCTGTACCCCTCTGTTCCCCTCTGTACCCCTCAGTGCCCCTCTGTACCCATCTGTACCCTCTGTACCCCTCTGTTCCCCTCTGTACCCCTCCGTACCCCTCTGTACCCCTCAGTGCCCCTCTGTACCCATCTGTACCCTCTGTACCCCTCTGTTCCCCTCTGTACCCCTCTGTACCCATCTGTACCCTCTGTACCCCTCTGTACCCATCTGTACCCTCTGTACCCCTCTGTTCCCCTCTGTACCCCTCTGTACCCATCTGTACCCTCTGTACCCTTCTGTACCCCTCTGTTCCCCTCTGTACCCCTCTGTACCCTCTGTACCCTCTGTACCCCTCTGTTCCCCTCTGTTCCCCTCTGTTCCCCTCTGTACCCCTCAGTGCCCCTCTGTACCCCTCTGTACCCCTCTGTACCCCTCAGTGCCCCTCAGTGCCCCTCTGTACCCCTCTGTTCCCCTCTGTACCCCTCTGTACCCCTCAGTGCCCCTCTGTACCCATCTGTACCCCTCTGTACCCCTCAGTGCCCCTCTGTACCCCTCTGTACCCCTCTGTACCCATCTGTACCCCTCTGTTCCCTTCTGTACCCCTCTGTACCCCTCTGTTCCCCTCTGTTCCCCTCTGTACCCTCTGTACCCCTCTGTACCCCTCAGTGCCCCTCTGTACCCCTCTGTTCCCCTCTGTACCCCTCAGTGCCCCTCTGTACCCCTCTGTTCCCCTCTGTTCCCCTCTGTTCCCCTCTGTACCCCTCAGTGCCCCTCTGTACCCCTCTGTTCCCCTCTGTTCCCCTCTGTACCCCTCAGTGCCCCTCTGTACCCCTCTGTTCCCCTCTGTTCCCCTCTGTTCCCCTCTGTACCCCTCAGTGCCCCTCTGTACCCATCTGTACCCCTCTGTACCCCTCTGTACCCCTCAGTGTAAGTACAGGTGCTTGGTGAGCGTGTGCTTCAGCTCCAGGTGGTAGGGCAGCTCGGGGTTCCTCTGGTTGTGCTCACAGACTGCAGCGTTCACTCGAAGGTGCAGGTCCAACAGGTGAGATCTGCTTCACACACACAACACTTTCAGACAAACAGGAAGTGAAATGGTCACATGTCCCAGGCTGAAACGCTGGCTTCCCTTCGCTCTGCCACAGAAAGTATTCTACTAAAGCATCATGACCAAGTATGGAATCGAAGGCTTTAGATTAAGGTTCTTATACTTTAAGACCAAAGTGTAAAGAAGCTAGTTATGCTTAATTTCCAAATGTTTGAGCTGACTGACCACTCGCCCATGGGTGTCCTTCCCCTCTGCATCCTGATTTCAATGGCCTCTCGTGTCCATCATCAGAGACGACAGGGCTTTCACCTTGGCTCAGAGTTGGGACTCACTTCTCCAGAGGCCAAAGGGCGGCAGGGGGCTTTCTGATCTGTCAGACTGACCACATCCCATAAAACAGCAACAGATCAGAAGCAGCACAACTCATATACGCAGCTCTAGTGCAGTCGTAGTGGGAATTGGCAAACATTTTATTTGATAGTATTGCGATACTTGGGCCACAATTCAATATTACTGCTATAATCATTTAAATAATAATGCATAATTTGATTCTGCAATATATTGCGATTCAGGTCACCTATATTATTCACAGCTTTTACAAAAATGTAGGAAAATAAAACTCGATTGGGGCCAACTCAAATGTCACATTAGCTGAAGCAAAAACACGTTGTGTAGAACCAGTTGTGATGAAGCCATTTTCATTTGAAATTCCTGTTGAATGAATGCACGATGGGCGGCACGGTGGCTGAGTGGATAGCACTCTCGCCTTTCAGCAAGAAGGTCCTGGGTTCGAATCCCGGTCGGACCAGGGCCTTTCTCAGTGGAGTTTGCATGTTCTCCCCGTGTCTGCGTAGGTTTCCTCCGGGTACTCCGGTTTCCCCTACCACTAAAAATATGTCCAATAGTTCTGGCATGCGCCTCCTGTACTGGCGACCCTGCTCCCATCTCTGTGTGGAGTGAGAGACAAATGCCCTAAATTAACAATTGTAAACCGCTTTGAGACTCAGATCTGCAGTGAAAAGGCGGTATATAAATAAAAACTTACTTACTTACTTACGAAAACCAAGCACTGCAACAAGCCCACTTTGTAAATGTGATACGTAAATACAATACTTATATATTAGTAATGCGATACTGAACAAAACCAATTATTTTGCCCACCACTATAGTACAGTCTCACCGCTCTAGAACTGTCTAGTTTCTCCATCAAGTTTAACATTTTCATTAGGAGCCACTTCATCAAGAAGGTGGATGGCGACCATCTTAGATTTTCAAGACTAAAAGTATAAATACAAATCTGAAAATGTCAGCATCTGTGCTTCTAATGCGTGAACGTCCCCCACAAACCTTTTTGGAGAGTTTTTTTATTATGAAGTAGGCATCTGGTTGACATCTTTACAATGATCCATGGGTTATTTAGATGATCCACCCGGAAGAACAGAATCCTCCAGTATACCTGTCCATTTTGGCCCAGCCTCGGTTAGTTTGACCTGTCCACATCAGTGGGGGCGGGTCCCAGCTCAAAAGTGGCCAAAATGTCGTGCGCTGACATGCTGCAATACCACCCCGGCCGATGGGGGTGGACCCAGAAGTAGAATTAGCCAATGCTAACATATAGCATTGGCAGACCTCTCAAAAAAGTCTTTACAGGATGGTCCAAAAGTTGGCTCTTGGCCCAAAGCTCCGTTCCACATATTGATACAAATGCATGTGTAACACTTAAAATGTACATCAGATGAACATATATATCATAGAAATCAAGTGGACCTAGAGAGCGGCTTATTTGTTTGGCTACAGCAGAATATGTTTCATGCCCGCATTGTTTGTTCAGACAAAACGCAAAACTGTGAGTTATGGGTCTTACCTTATAAATGACCTGCACAGGCCACTTCGGTTCAGACCAGTTCCATGTTTAAGTCCAGATAATAGTTTGAGCGTAGATATGTAATCCTCCATTTGGAAATGAGTCCAATGAGTTTAAAAAAAGTAAAACAAAACGCGTGTGTCCTCCATAAACTCCTCTGTTTTGCTGCAGCCGGCTGCATCCAATTTCTAAAATCAACCGTCTTACACTTCACCTCTTTCTTATCATTCCTATAGTCATTGAAAAATTACCCTAAATGCATTTTAAATGATCTTAAAATGTGTTATATGTATGTTAGCCAAACCTGTTGCAGCCCTTAGCAGATAAACCAGGAGGAGAAAGGAGCTTATCGATGGAATTGTATGCAGCCGACTTCTGCGCTCACATGTACTCCTCTGAGGCCTCACGGTGATACAAGCCGTGGTAGAGTGTGATTAAGACCCATATTTGTTTCAAAAACACAATTTATGAGCCATCCTCTCAACTGTAGACATGTAGATTGTAAAGGAAATATGTTTTACATCAGCCAATAATTGCTGAGAGGTTTTCTCATCCTCCCTTCTCTCATGACAACACGCGCACGAGTCCTATCGAAGTAAAAAGAGAAGTTCATTGTGCGTCTTGAGTAACGCGCAGTAACGGGATGTCGGAAATGATAACGGCGTTATAGTTACTGTTAAAGTAACTAGTTAGATTACTCGTTACTGAAAAAAGTAACGTCACTATTCCCATCACTGCTTCTAAGCACAGATATTGACATTTTCAAATTTATATGGTATGACCCTTAACCCACTGGCGACAGTGGCTCAGTTGGTAGAGCATTGGCCTTTGAGCCTGAAGGTCGTGGGTTCGAGCCCACCATAAGACCTACCTCGCGACTTCCACTGATGACTGCTGTCGTTGTGTCCTTGGGCAAGAAACTTGACCCCACTTTGCCTGAAGCTCCCACTGAAATAGAGTCCTGTGGACTCACCACCTGCAGGAGGATCAGTGAGGGGCAGGTGCTCTGTGTATTGGGTGCAGCTCTGACTGCCACCACCCCGACCCAGAAATGGATTAAGGGGAAGAAAATGGATGGATGGATAACCCTTAACCCCATGTTGCCCAAAGCCCCCGCTGAAAGAACAAGTCTGTGTCTCCGCTGACGGAGGAGCAGCGAGGGACTGGTGCTATGTGCATTGTGTGGCAGCTCGGATTGTCACTCCCCCCAACCCAGAAATGGACTAATAAAGGGGTAAAAAATGAATGAATAAAAATAATGGATCCAAAGATGGCCGTCATCTGCTATTTAGCTGAAGTTGCTCCTGAAATCTATTGTCATATCGCTAAGCCACCGGACTATTCCAAAAAACAGATAAAACAAATCTTTATGTTTACGGTCATAAAATCATGGCAAAATGCAGTTGCATTAGATATTTTGTGATTGTAAGAGGAAGAATACTGTCACTGTGAAATACAGTAGTGTTGCAAGGTGCACTCACCTGGTGTTTGTAGGCTGCAGCGCCCCCATCAGGGCTCTCAGGTAATGTGAGTAGTGTGTGGGGGTCTGTAACTGGCTCTCTGGGGTCCAGCAGTGGCTCCAGAACACGTCTGCGTCTGTGGGGACCAGGTTGTCTCCCACAAAAGGGATTCCGTCCGTCTCCAGCTCCTCACTGTGGACATGAGCATCAACGGTGACATTAAATCAATTAATCTACCATTCAACCCAGAAAGATAGATCAGAGGTTAGAGGTCGTCCATGAGTCAAAGGAAGGACCAAAGTGTCATTTGTGGTGAAAAAGGAAAACATCTTGTGTCAAAATGTCACTACAGCATAGTTTTATGTGCCCCTTTCCACTCAATGTTTTTGTATTGGTCAACAGTCATATCGGCTGAAGTTTTCAAAATGAATGCGCCTTGGCTGTAATAATAACTATTAATAACTTCTCATTATACTAAATTTGGAAAATGTATACTTGCTTCCATTTTATGCTAACAATAGAGATTTTATACTTGCTTCTTTCTTATGTTTTATTCTATTTTATTATAGAGTGATTATTCATTTATCTTGTGTTGTGTGCTCCTCATTCCTACTGTTCTGTAACCGGTGATGAAACACTGAAATTTCCCCACTGTGGGGCGAAGCATTGGGCACATAACTGTGTCTGTAGCTCCACCCAACTGTGTGAAGCTCCGCCCTGCCCTGTGCTTGTGGATCCGCCCACTTGTACCTGTAGCTCTGCCAACCTGCGCCTGTAGCTCCGCCCACCTGTTAGTACAGCCCCATCCACCTGTGCTTTTATCTCCGCCCACCTGTGCCTGTAGCTCCACCCCTGTGCCTGTTGCGCCGCCCACCTGTTTGTGTAGCTTCGCCCACCAGAGTGTGTAACTCCGCCCACCTGTTTGTATAGCTCCGCCCTGTGGTGTGTGTCTCCTCTACACTGTAGCTCTGGATGAAGAAGAGTTTGGGTTTGGCGGTGAGCGCGGTGCAATGACTGAACATCCTGCGGAGCGAGTCCAGGTGCAGACCCATGCGCTGTGCGTCTGTAGCCAGCAGGTGGCGCTGGTTCCCCCGACTGATGAAGCAGCAGACCAGAGCGGAGGCGTCCTGGAGGACAGGGCCCTGCTGGAGAGCCGTCAGCACAGACATACAGCCGCTCACAGTGAGACAGCGGTGGTGGATCACCGAGAAGTGAAGAGAGAGGAAGGTCTGCTCTAGGAGGTCTACACACACACACACACACACACACACAGACACAGAGACATTATACACATGTGTTTGATATGTGCGTAGTGAGGGCTAATATGAAGTGACACGTCTGTGAAATGAACATCAGGACAACAATACTTGAAAATGGTCTTAGGGTTAGGGTTAGTGCATTGATTGTGCAAACAGAGGAATGGTGTGTGTGTGTGTGTGTGTGTGTGTGTGTGTGTGTGTGTGTGTGTGTGTGTGTGCGTGTGTGTGTGTGTGTTTGTGTGTGTGTGTGTGTGGAGCCTCACCTCCGTCCAGACCCACACAGTCCAGGATCAGACAAACTCCACGAGACTCAGTGTTCAGTCTGTAGTGTTCTATGTGACTCTGAAAGACACAGATCTGTCACGTCAGAGAGAGGCATCCTGGGAGAGGTGCATTCACATGACCTCACCGTGTGGCCGGGGCCTCTGTACACTGGCTATCTCACCGTTTGGCCGGAGCATCTGTCTCCTGGCTGTCTTCCCGTGTGGCCGAGGCCTTTGTACGCTGGATGTCTCACCGTGTGGCCGAGGCCTTTGTACGCTGGATGTCTCACCGTGTGGCCGAGGCCTTTGTACGCTGGATGTCTCACCGTGTGGCCGGGGCCCCTGTATGCTGGCTATCTTACTTTGTGGTCGGGGCCCTGTATGCTGGATGTCTTACTGTGTGGTCAGGGCCCCTGTTTGCTGGATGTCTTACCGTGTAGCTGGGGCCATTGTACACTGGCTGTCTCACCGTGTGGCTGGGGCCCCTGTATGCTGGCTGTCCCACCGTGTGGCTGGGGCCCCTGTACGCTGGCTGTATCACCGTGTGACTAGGGCCCCTGTACGCTGCACCTGGGGGCCACACATTTGGTTCAAACACATCGTCTTTTGGCATTTGGAGAAGTATTGAACACATGACATGGATTATGCTTAAACTCTAAATTTCACCGTCGTTGGAAAATGAGAAACTGTCTAATGTGTCATATTTGGACGTATGGTCACTGTTCTAATAGGGTTCGGCAGGATGATGGTGCTTTCACACCGGATCATGTGTTGCGTCGACTTTCAATGCAAAGTCAATGATGACGCACGTTCGAGCGTGGAACTACATGTGCGTCTCGGGATGCACGCATCTGGAGCACGGTAGAGACGCACGGACTGCGCGACAAAGTTGCAGCAGAGGCGCAGGAGCGGAAAATCGACACACGCAGGAGATAAATATTGCTGAACCTTTCCTTGGGACGCTCGTGCAGCGACCAATCAGAGAGCCGCAAAGTGGTCACGGGGACATTAGTGGTCTGAGCGAGCAGACTGAACATACTGTAAACAGCCAAACCAGGACTAAACCAGGACTAAACCAGGACTAAAGGGTTGACATTGGGGGACTGTGTGCTTGTGAACATATGCGTTCTCATGCTCCTGTGATTTTATTCAACTGCTTCGAGCGTGCTCGCCGATGCGGAAGTACCGTTTAAGAATAAAATAAACGTATGGCGCACCTCCATGAACATATACTGCTGTTATATAAAGTCCGTGGAAGGTCTCTGGACACAGAGACGCTGCAAAGCTGCATTATTGGAGATGAACTTTACACAAAAAGCCTCTAGCTTAACTCTAGCAAACGCTGAAGCCCCGCTCACCAGACACGCATTCTCTAGTTTTCAGACGCAGAGGACTTCACACCAGAACGTCCTGGCCAGCGCCGGAAGTAGCCGGCCGGCTCTAATGCTAACAGAACTATGCTAGCGGCTTCTTGTGTACAGATCATCTCCAATATGCAGCTTTGCAGCGTGTCTGTGTTCAGAGACCTTCCATGGACTTTATATAACAGCAGTATGTGTTCACGGAGGTGCGCCATACGTTTATTGTATTATTAAACAGTGTTTCCGCATCGGCGAACACACTCGAAGCAGTTGCATAAGGTCACGGGAGCATGACAACGCATATTTTCACAAGCACAGAGTCCCCCATTGTCAACCCTGGTTTGAGTTCTGGTGAAGCCTGGTGTGGGTCCTGTTTTGGCTGTTTATGAGTATTTTCAGTCTGCTCGCTCAGTCCGCTAATGTCCCCGTGACCACTTTGCTGCTCTCTGATTGGTTTCCGCACAAACGTCCCAAGGAAAGGATGAGCAGAATCCATCTCCTGTGGGCGTCCATTTTTCGCTCCTGCACCTCCCTTTGACTTTCCCACCAAGTCCGTGCGTCTCTACTGAACAGTCCGTTTGTGCGTGCCGAGAGGTCGGTGTGTTTTGACGCTCGAACGCGTGTCACCATAGACTTTGCATTGAAAGCAGACGCAGACGGATGATCCGGTCTGAACGCGGCATTAGTCTCCACTTCAACCTGAACCCCTTTCAGCATTATTTAGCACTGAACTTCTTAATAGACACAATTTAGTCTTTTTTTTTCTTAGTGTAAAATTTATACAATCTTTGAAAACATGTGACCTGAGATCTAATGTACATAATGGCCCAAAAAAATTAATAAACTACTAAACTAAACTGAACTATTTTGAGGCACTATTCCTCACCACAAACAGACCTGGGGTTATTCTTATCTTTAACAACGCTCTGTGCTGAATCTGGCTCTTCTGTTTCACAGTCTCTCTGTCCGGGGTCAGAAGACACAGAGAGGAGCCTCTTTTACTTTGAATCATACTGATCTCCTTTGTGTCATTTCTGTCCTGGACCTGGCAGTGTGTATCTTTTTATGTTTTCAATCAGTGTTAGTGGTTGTGAGAAGCCATGTAATAGAACACAGACACGATAACTCTCATTACTTTGGAAAGAAGAAATGAAAGAAGAAAAGAGAAATGTTCGCTTCCACACACGTTTCTGCCATTTCTATAGTTTCTGTTACAGTCTCCAGAGTAAGAGTATCTTGTTTAAGTTGTTTATGTTGTATTTTGAATTGATGTGAGAATCGCAGGATCATTAAAGACATTTCGATTTTCTGACCCTGATGCCCCAGATCTCAGTAGATCAATGAGCAGGTGCAGCGTGATCCCGGCAGACCACAGAGAGAACCACGGCTTCTGTTTATTTCACAAGATATTTCTTCAACCATCTAAAAGTATGGATTTTATTTATCACAAGATCAAGACCTTTGCATTGGATCCATCCTGATGTCACAAGGGCAGAGGTGTCCAAACAGGTCCAGAAAGGGCCGCTGTGGCTGCAGGTTTTCTATCAGACCCAGCAGGAACAGCGCCGACGTCTCCCATTTCATCAAATCTTCAGGTTATGACTGAACTCACTTGAGGAAATGGGTGGAGTCTGCGCTGCTCTTGCTGGGTCTGATAGAAAACCTGAGTTGATCTCAACACTAGAATGGAGTAAAAATGTCCTCTCTGTGGTCATCCTGCTTCCTATGGACCAATTTGTTTGTTATCATTACATTGCCTGTTTGATTCTCTGATCTCTTGTTGAGGAATGGACAACTTCGCAAAGTCCTCCAAAACGACTGTTGCTGTGATTTCGGGCGATACACAAATGCATTGAATTAAAAAGTAAGTAAAATATTTTTGATTTGATTTGCGGTTTGATTGTGATTAATTGTCCAGCTCAAGATGAAGCTTAAAACAACTACTTTTTTAAAACAGCAACAGGTTTTCGAAAAACATTGAGAAAAGAAAGTCTATTTTTGAAAAGTTGAAGACAGCGATGGGATTTCTTACTGTTATGAAGCAGCTGCAGAGGATGGGCTCTCAGACTGACACCTGGATTCTACAACAGAAACAGACACAGAGACAGTTCCAGGTGTGAGGACCATGTGAGGGAGCTCTGGTTACTCACCACAGGAGGGCACCGCTGCACCAGGGCGGCGCTGTGTCCGGGGCTGTGTTCAGGGTCTGCACAACACACAAACACATATTAAGCCAGTGTGAGTGACTGCATGGAAGTACTTAAAACATACAAGTAACGCACAAAAAACACAATATACTTTCATACCAAAGCAATGAGCCCCAATGAAGCTCTATACTGCAACTACTACAAGACTTAGTTGTTGTGTATCGCCCTAAATTCACCAACACATTATTATTGTCTAAATATCAAATGTCACAGACCTGTCACAGACCAGATGTTGTCTCATACACCGATACACTGAACACACACACATACCGATACACTGAACACACACACACACACCAATACACTGAACACACACACACACACACCTACATACGGTCACCACTGCTCAGAACCAATGAGCTGATGTACACTGCACTGAAATCACAGACATACCGGTCGATGTGAACGTGTGCACTCGCTTGGATAGGTCCAGTCGCCCGATGTCCCTCAGACAAGTCTGGACCAGCTCCAGCCGGTCGCTGGAGACCTCGGCCTGCTTCTCCAGTTCAGTGATGACGTCCAGGAAGCTCTGTCAGCACAGGGCACACACTCAAGAGGTTAACAAGAGGAGAGCCTTTATTCTTCCCATAGTGTGATGCAACACTGAGCACACAGAGAAGGAATATTAAGTCCAGCACAACTCTATACTCTCTATTTATAAAAAAAAAAAAAAAAAAACAATCTTTTGCTTTATTAGTGTCCCTCTTTGTGATGCTGCTGCTCCAGCAGACCCACACAAGATTCCAGGATTGCATAGAAGATGAGCCTCCTCCGCAGATAGAGCCGGCTTTAGGCCCGCCTTGTAGAGTATTGTTAATTCACTATTACACGTATTAGGACTCCAGGCCAGTTTGTGTTTCAGGAGATCACCCAGGTACTTGTAGAAGTCCTCTCTCAACGTCCGTTCCCTGGATGTTCACTGGTGACGCTGTCAGAAATCTGTTGATGAGGAGGTGGTTCATCTCCTTGGTCTTGTGTTCATGAGGAGGTGGTTCATCTCCTTGGTCTTGTGTTGATGAGGAGGTGGTTCATCTCTTTGGTCTTGTGTTCATGAGGAGGTGGTTCATCTCCTTGGTCTTGTGTTGATGAGGAGGTGGTTCCGCTGACACCTGTGTTAGTCCTCTGTACTCTGCGTTGTCCTCAGTGATGATGATGATGATGATGATGATGATGATGATGATGATGATGTGATGATGATGATGGCAGAGTCGTCAGATAACTTCTGGAGGACACAACTCTCCGTGTTGTGTTTGAAGTCTGCAGTGTAGAGGGTGAAGAGGAACGGCCCGAAGACTGTGCCAGGGGCCCCCACACTGCAGGTCAGGACCTCAGACACAAAGTCCCTGGTTCTCACAAACTGGGGTCTGTCTGTGAGGTAGTCCAGGATCCATGTAGACAAGTTGTAGTCCACTCCAGCTTGTCCCTGAGAGGTCACGGCTGGATGGTGTTAAAGGCGCTGGAGAGAACAGAACCGGATCCTCAGAGCTGAGTCGGGCTTCTCCAGGTGGGACTGTGAGCGGTGGAGGAGGGAGATGATGGCATCCCAGCCGTATAAGTCATGTTGAAGGTCTTAATTTGGAAGAGCCTTCAAGATATTGGCTACAAATAGCAGAGATGATATTCTGTGGTCCCTAAACCGGACTCCCTAGAAAGACAGTGAACAGAACCGATGACAAAGGGCAGGAGGCCAACCTGCACCAGGAACAGGTTTGACCGACTGCAGGTGATGCAAATGCAACTCTGACAACGGTCAGGGACTCGACGGCTCTCAGCAGAGGACCCTGGTCCCCTTACTCCCGGAGAACTGAGCAAAACACAAAGGGAACACGGTCGCATGCCTTCTCCAAATCCATGTGGACAGGTTGGGCGAACTCCCATGATCCTTCGACTATCCAATCAAGGGTAAAGGGCTGGTCAAGTTTTCCGCGGCCGGGACAAAAACCACAATGCTCCTCCTGAATTCCGAGATTTGAGCATCGGTTGAAGTCTCCTCCCCAGTACCTTGAGTAGACCTTACAGTCGTTGGAACACACCCTCCGGTCCCCCATCTTCTAGAGAGGGCACTGTCACCGATCGCCACACCATGTTTCAGAGACGTGTCAGCCAAGACCCACAACATCCAGAGACTTAAGATGGTCAGGACGGGTCTCTTCCACTCCTGGGGCCTGGCCACAAGGAGGCTGCTAACAACCTTTGTGACGAGAGCCTCTGGGATTCAGGGGCGGTCCATGTCTACAATAAAGTCCGTGGGCCACAGCAGGATGTACCTTGGCTCTGTCCAGCCTGTCCCGGGGCACCACTCGTCCCAGTAAGAACTTGAGCTGGTTGAGGTCTTCAGAAGTCAGCTCTTCGCTCAGCTTAAACATCAGCACTCTGCACACAGAACAAAAGCCTTTAGAGATTCTTTAAGTTGCCTTGAGTATGGACTGTTCTCTGATTGGCCAAGAGCAGACTAAAAGCAAGCCCTCGCACATGTCAAAGATTGATAGACGGGTTGAATAAAGAAACCTATTGCGCGTGTAACGTCTTACAATGCAATCTTGTATTTTGCAACTGTAACCTGGAGGGGGTGCTGTGTACATTTTCATTGATGTTTTCTTATGGTTTCTGTTTATGTTTATGCGTGGATATGACCTATAGGGCGACAGTGTGGTGAGGCTGACCTATAGGGCGACAGTGTGACGAGGCTGACCTATAGGGCGACAGTGTGATGAGGCTGACCTATAGGGCGTCAGTGTGCTGAGGCTGACCTATAGGGCGACAGTGTGGTGAGGCTGACCTATAGGGCGACAGTGTGCTGAGGCTGACCTATAGGGCGACAGTGTGGTGAGGCTGACCTATAGGGCGACAGTGTGCTGAGGCTGACCTATAGGGCGACAGTGTGCTGAGGCTGACCTATAGGGCGACAGTGTGGTGAGGCTGACCTATAGGGCGACAGTGTGCTGAGGCTGACCTATAGGGCGACAGTGTGCTGAGGCTGACCTATAGGGCGACAGTGTCCTGAGGCTGACCTATAGGGCGACAGTGTGCTGAGGCTGACCTATAGGGCGACAGTGTGCTGAGGCTGACCTATAGGGCGACAGTGTGGTGAGGCTGACCTATAGGGCGACAGTGTGCTGAGGCTGACCTATAGGGCGACAGTGTGGTGAGGCTGACCTATAGGGCGACAGTGTGCTGAGACTGACCTATAGGGCGACAGTGTCCTGAGGCTGACCTATAGGGCGACAGTGTGCTGAGGCTGACCTATAGGGCGACAGTGTGGTGAGGCTGACCTATAGGGCGACAGTGTGGTGAGGCTGACCTATAGGGCGACAGTGTGCTGAGGCTGACCTATAGGGCGACAGTGTGCTGAGGCTGACCTATAGGGCGACAGTGTGCTGAGGCTGACCTATAGGGCGACAGTGTGCTGAGGCTGACCTATAGGGCGACAGTGTGGTGAGGCTGACCTATAGGGCGACAGTGTGGTGAGGCTGACCTATAGGGCGTCAGTGTGCTGAGGCTGACCTATAGGGCGACAGTGTGGTGAGGCTGACCTATAGGGCGACAGTGTGCTGAGGCTGACCTATAGGGCGACAGTGTGCTGAGGCTGACCTATAGGGCGACAGTGTGGTGAGGCTGACCTATAGGGCGTCAGTGTGCTGAGGCTGACCTATAGGGCGACAGTGTGCTGAGGCTGACCTATAGGGTGACAGTGTGCTGAGGCTGACCTATAGGGCGACAGTGTGCTGAGGCTGACCTATAGGGCGAGAGTGTGCTGAGGCTGACCTATAGGGCGACAGTGTGGTGAGGCTGACCTATAGGGTGACAGTCTGGGCGGGCCGTGCCTCTCCACCTCCTCTTTCCCACAGTGACACAGGCTCCGTAGCAGGTCTATTCTTCGCAGCTGCACCAGGAGTTCCCGGAGAACCTGCACTTGGCCCTCTCCTCCACCACCACCACCACCGCCTGTGACCGTGGCCTCCAGCAGGGAGCGGGCACGGGCCGGGCTGTGATCCGAGTCTAAGCTCCCGCACAGAAACACCAGGGCCCTGCGCTCCAACTCGCTCAGGGAGTCCACCAGCTCACAGAGAAGGGGGAGGAGGGCCGTGGCCGACATCAGCAAAAGCTGTACCGAAGAAGGAGCAGGTTTAGTTAAAGGACACTAATGTTACATGTTACAATGTATGTGTTATCTTCAAAAACAGACCTGAGACTCTTAGAACAGAGTCATCAGTCATACAGTACATACATCAGGGGTCTCCAACCTTTTTCAATCTGAGAGCTACTTTCATACAAACGAAGAGGCAGAGAGCTACTCCTTTCTGCAGTCGTAATAAAAGTCTATCTAATAAGATAAGATAAACTTTATGGATCTCACAATGTAGAACTGTACATGTCACATTTGGCATAGATAGAATCAGATTGACAGAAGTGAGCAAACATGTTAAGGTTAAAAATAAAGTCTGTAATTACGACAAAACATGGAGAACACTTGGAGAATACACAATAATACTGTAAAACCCTATATTTTTACTTATAATGTATATGTAATGGCTCAAAAAGTATTTATTCAAGATCTTGTGAAATCCTTTGGCGAGCCCCCTGAAAGGGGCTGGTGAGCTACTAGTGGCTCCCGAGCTACAGGTTGGAGACCCCTGACATGCATCTTAGTAAAAGCTCTTTTGGTAACACTTGTTTTTAACTGCTCCCTAAAAAGCAGACTAATTACCATTTGATCCGAAGCCCAATGCTCTACCAACTGAGCCATCCATTTTCAGAAGATTTGTCACTGTGGCTATAACGCGTGAGTAAGGCCTGAATGATAAAAACAGTAGTCGTCATGGAGGACTGTGCAAAGTTGTTGATTCGCCAAAACAATGTAAATAAATGTTCATAAATGTCCTCCCATCAAGTTCTACAACTCAACACGCAACCATTGTTCTTTCGGTTTGTGACTCTGGTCTGAAAGGCGCTAAATAAAGATGAAGATGACTTACTTTCTCAATTACTTAGGATAATGCTGTCGTCATACTTCTCCAGCAAAGAGTCTCCATATGCAGCTTGACTGACAATCTGTGATTATAGACTTGATAATTATTCATGTTTGGAAAAGAAAGATTGAAAGCTCATATTCTACACAGACATGATTGCTCATGTCTGTGTAGAATGTGAGCTTTCAATCTTGCTTTTTTTTACAGATTACAGTTTTTTCCTGTTGCTTGAACACTATACACAGACGCTTAGACTAAAGTTACAGAACCTGAAGCTTTTGTACTGAACCTTAAACACAGACTAACCATTCCTTAAACAAAAGTACTGCTTTGCACTTTGCGTTCATTTCTACAACACACTTTCTTCTTTTGCAACACACTTTCTCCTTCTGCAACACACTTTCTCCTGCTCACTACACACTGTGTCACACATAAGACCTGTTCATAAATTACCGTTGGGAAAATACATCTATTCAAAATACCAAACACATTGTGTGATAGAAAACACTGAGACACACACTTGAAAACACGAGACACATCAGTCAGACATAAACAAGCCTCAGTTTAGCCATTTTCAGAACGTTTTAAGTATGAAGGCAGGAAGAGCAAGAGAGAGGAAGAGGAAGACAAGGAGAGAAGAGGAGGACGGTGGTTGAAGGTTTTTCTGACATTAGAGCAACTTTGGAGGATCATGTGATGAACCATGGCCTCACACTGAAGGAAGCAGAGCCACAGCTTCATCATCAGGACCTTCAGATGGAAACATGTCTCTAACTCTGTACTGCAGACTGTATCTACAGTGTGTACAGTACTGTACTGTATCACATGTACTTTAACTCTGTACTGCAGACTGTATCTACAGTATGTACAGTACTGCACTGTATCACATGTACTGTAACTCTGTACTGCAGACTGTATCTACAGTATGTACAGTACTGCACTGTATCACATGTACTGTAACTCTGTACTGAAGACTGTATCTACAGTATGTACAGTACTGTACTGTATCACATGTACTGTAACTCTGTACTGAAGACTGTATCTACAGTATGTACAGTACTGTATTGTATCACATGTACTGTAACTCTGTACTGAAGACTGTATCTACAGTATGTACAGTACTGTACTGTATCACATGTACTGTAACTCTGTACTGCAGACTGTATCTACAGTATGTACAGTACTGTACTGTATCACATGTACTGTAACTGTAGTGCAGACTGTATCTACAGTATGTACAGTACTGTACTGTATCACATGTACTGTATTGCAAGTTGGCTATTGCTCCTTTTGAAACATACAATACAGTAAAGTACATAGTACTGAACCAATTGAGATGTCACAGTACTGTGTACAGTAAACCTACAGTAAACTAAACCTATTTCTACAGAATGACTAGAACCTTCTGAAGGTTCTCCACAGTTGTTCACCAACAGCAGGAACATTGTGGAAACAGTCTGAGCAGGAACATGATCCATAATCCCACTCACGTATAATTGCCTAGTTTTACATTAGAGATTTTTATTAATGTATGTGTTACTGCATTGACACAAATGCAGTACAGTACAATGTAGTACTGTACTGTACAGTATAATGTAGTACTGTGATGTATAGTATTGAGTTGATATTATTTGTAACCTTTCAGTACTACTGAGAACAAAAACAGTTCCATTGAGCTTCACTGAAAACTAACTGATAAACAGAATAAAAACAGTGAAAAGTACTGCAGTGTTTTATAAAAAGTACTGCAGTGTTTTATATAAAGTACTGTAGTGTTTTATAAAAAGTACTGCAGTTTTTTATAAAAAGTACTGCAGTGTTTTATAAAAAGTACTGTAGTGTTTTATATAAAGTACTGCAGTGTTTTATAAAAAGTACTGCAGTGTTTTATAAAAAGTACTGCAGTGTTTTATAAAAAGTACTGTAGTGTTTTATAAAAAGTACTGTAGTGTGTTGCTTCCAATCTGAAAGTGTGTTCACGTGATGCAAGTATGTGTCATTTTGTCCGCAGAGTTTCATTTTGACAAATGATTGTTTAGTTTCGAGAGCAGAGTTTGAGTTTTGATAGAGGAGTTTCATTTTGACCCAGATGTGTGTGGTTTATGTCCCAGAGTGTGTGAGGTCATCGTGTGTGTAGAGTTTCGGGACTATGAGCGAAATTTTGCAAAATGTGTTCAAGCAACAGGAAACATTAAACATTAAAAACTTTTATATTGTGTGTAAGAAAAAGAGTCTGGTATGTGTGAGATTTTGTATTTTATTTTTGAATCAGTTCCATTTAACTAACTACAAGATTTCTTCAGAGTGTTCAGAGTTCCATGGTTTGGGATCATTTTTCTCTTATTTAACAAAACGTGTTGTCTCATGAAAGAATTTTATTTTCAAACAAGAAGCCGACTTAAAACGGCAACTGTTGAAAAACTGTTGTGTTTGGATAAAAACTTGTGATCTAGATGTGAGCAGACTGACTAAATCAAAGAATAGATTAACAGCAGATGAAACGCTATGAAACAGAAACAACACCACAATTGTTTTCCAGTTTTTGTGATGGCGGAACAATAAATCAACTTCTGCTATTCAGAAGCTGCAGAGATTACAGGGCTCCATTAGATGTGACGAGATGTGACATAGGGCTGGGCGATTAATCGATTTTAATCATTAATTTGAGTTTTACGTTTAGGGCGATTTCTTTTTTTAAAAATTCGATTTTTATTTTCTCCAGCGCAGAACTACAGCGCTAACGCGTTAACCGCGGGTCTATGGTGTTGAGCAGTCATTTTGAAGCTAACCTAATGCTAACAGTCTCCCTCTGGCCTGATGCTCGCTCTCACAGTTGGTGCTGTTGCAATAACACTTCAAACGTTCAAGAATCAGACTTTATTTAATCGCCAGAACACACACACACACGCACGCAGGCTCCGGTCGCTATGTTCGTACGCCACATCTTTCACGCTCTCTCACGCTCGTTATTCCAAAGCGCACTCCCGTGTCCGTGGCGCGCACACACTCGTGTCCCACTGAGCCGCTGCACTTTGGGGAAAGACACGTCTCACACATTGCTCTCATTGCTCTGATACAAACAACGTGTTCCCCGCTGTCTGCTAGCTACTGTAGCTGCTACAGTAGCTGTTAGCTACAGTAGCTGCTACAGTAGCTGCTACAGTAGCTGCTACAGTAGCTGTTAGCTACAGTAGCTGCTACAGTAGCTGTTAGCTACAGTAGCTGCTACAGTAGCTGTTAGCTACAGCATCAGAATGTAAACAGGAAGCTCGCACAATGCGGGAGTCACTGAAGTTAGTATTAGCGCCACCAGCTGGACCGAGCGTTGTACTACAGCACAGTTACTCAGGCACAGTTGAAAGAACAAGCATGAAAACCCGAGGAGGTTTTTGGAAAAGACTGTTACAACATTTCTATTTTGAGTAATCAGTTTTAAAAATGTGATATTTCATGTAAATAATGCATGTGTTTAATAGGATTGATATATTTGCGATGGGCCTTGTTTGTGTGATTTAAGTTATTTTGAAGGTGCATAGTGTCATTGTAAGTGAAGTTATTATAAAACTGTTAAGCTACATTTTCACTGTTTACAATGGCAGAGCCATCTCGTTTACAAGCATGTTTTAAGGCTTAATTCCTGTTACACTTATGCTCCATGGGGATTTAGATTAAACTGCATAAAGGAAAATCTATTTCTTTGTCACTTGTAGTTTGTTTTTAAATAGAAAAAAATAAATCGATTAAAATCGAAAATCGGATTTGGTGTGAAAAAATCGGAGATTTTTTTTTTTTGCCATATCGCCCAGCCCTAATGTGACATTTGAAAGCAGAGCCTAAATACGAATATAAAGACACTAGAAAACTGTTAGCCTGGTCGTACCACACCATAGTAAAAATGACATTTCGTACTATGGTCTGGATTTGCTCCGTTGAGCTCCATTTACAGTGTGGGAGGGGTTAACTTCTTTTGCAGATTGAAACGATTGGATCTGAGTTTACCGTGACGTATGTAATGCGCCTGAGTCTGTCGTTAGCATTTAGCATTTAGCCTAGCCATCTCCTTTGCCGCTAACGGAGCCCGTGGGGGGAAGCACCACAATCTTTTCCAGCGATTACATTTGCTAAA